ATAGTACCTGGGGAGGGGATGAAAGGATGGTAACCATCATTTTGGAAAGTATTTGATATATGGACTTAATTTGTATAATATTTTAACTCTCAAAATCAGTGAAAACAGACAATGGGAGAAATTATTCTGGGTGTAATTCTGCCCAGCTAGAAAGAACTGACTGGCGATGTAGGTGACAGGAATTCTGGAGTAAAAATAACTGTAGTAGCAAGTAAAGGGAACCACTGGCCCTGACTAACTCTGAGCCATGACTTTAGTCAATGGATTCAGTCAATGGATTTCAAAAAGTTCAGGAAACAATAGGTATGATTTTATGGCTATAGTCTTCAAAAGGGGCTCAAAACCGACAAGAAACAGAACATCAGAAAAAACAAAACTCTGACCAAGCAATTGCAAATAATCTCAATGCAAAGTAAAGGGAGAAGAACCAAAGAAACCAACTGAAAGGGTTTTCTCTGATAAAGTCATAATTTTAAATATAGATAACTTTAAGAGGGGCACATATCCAAGGAAGAACAGAAAATAACAATATGAACCTGTAAGAACAGGCCAGTTTCGGTTTAAATAAGGTAACAGCATAAGGTTTTCAAAATAAGGTCAAGAAAAGTTAAACCCTCTGACCAGGTAAAAAGACAGAGAAGACAGACCTTGTCCAACTCCTATCATGATTCCCTTTTCTGTTAGAAGGGTTTTCAACCTGGAAAGGATATAACAAAAATCCTAATAAACAAAATGCAGCCCAAGGAAGGTGAGGGCAATCTATACATTTTAAATGTCTTTAAACCCAGAATCAAAAGTCCAAGAAATAAACTCTTAAATGGATTACAGAAACCCACAGTGGACAAATAGTAGACACTAGAAATTTTCCTAAGTCTTAAAAAAAAAAAGTTTAATTTCCATTGATTAGTTACCTTTTTGATGGAAAACATTTCTTGAAAAATTTCCTGATAACAATAAAGCATTTTATAAAATTTTTCATAACATTATTATACACATAAGCATTGTAAAGTTGGTCTATAGCTAAGCAAACAAGAGGGGTAAACAATCACTCAAGAGGCCACCAGAAAAATAATTTCTAATAAGCCTTGCCTAATACTATTTAACTTATTTTATCAGTAACTTGGGTAAAGGCAAAAAAATCTCTAAGTAGGCCCTGCCTTGCTTGTACTGTTGGACATAATTTATTAGTTGCTTAAAAGGAGGCCAAAAATTGTTATGTTTATGAAACGTGTACATGATATATAATTGTACAGAAAACCTAACTCCTTGACACAGAACATATTCAGGATCAGAATCTGAAATCCTCATTAATATGGAGGGTAGTTGGTCATCATAAAATTTGAAGGACTTTTGGGTGTAAGGATTGGGCTGGTTCTATATAATTCCAGAGGAGGAACACAGAATGGAAGAAAGTATAGGGGACAAATTTCAGGTTGAAAAAAGGATAAACTTTCTAACAGAAATACAGACAGAATATGCTCATTCTTGCAGTAATGAGCTTCCAGTTACTGAATATACAGAAGCATGGGATAGATGGCTAGTTCTCACCAGTCAGTAAGGTGAACTGAAATCAGTGGTTTTTATTTATTTATTTTTGAATGTCAATTAGTATTTTATTTTGTTTTGTTTTTATCAATTACTATTTTATTTTATTTTTTTTCAATATATGAAGTTTATTGTCAAATTGGTTTCCATACAACACCCAGTGCTTATCCCAAAAGGTGCCCTCCTCAATACCCATCACCCACCCTCCCCTCCCTCCCACCCCCCATCAACCCTCAGTTAGTCACTCCATAGACAAACATTAATTTTGGCACTTGCCAACATGGTACATAAGATTTGATGAATATTTCTACAAATGTCTATAAGCTCATAATTATTTATAATTACATAAAGATGGAGATTCCATAATATATCAAAACAATTTCCTCCTGTTGACCATTCAGATCAGACTGGCTCTCCTTGTTATTATATAATTATTCCTATTTGTATCTCTGTACACGGTAGCTTTTTGTCTTCTATTAAAAGTATCCTGAAGTTAAGATCTCCAAAGTGGGGTTAGTGAACTAAAAAGTATGAACTCTGGTGGTTCTTGTTATATACAGTAATGCCTTCCAACAGGTCTTAAATCAATTTACCTGCAGTCATCACCTGAACTCTGAATACAACACTAGTTTAAGCACTTTTATACTTTACATCTTCTCACAAGTCTATGTAATGAGTATTTACTATTCCTGTTTTTTATGGATAAGGAAACTGAAGCCAAGAGAGACAATAAGAGCATGTATATTTTAAGGTCTTATTAAAGAATATAACCCACATTGCCAAATTCTTATTTAAAATATAATAATCATACATACATATTTATTTAAATATAGACAGCTGTTAATGTTGCATAGTCAATTCCTTCATCTAGATCAGCATTTCCTGAGACATGTTTGGTAACATACTTTAGTTCTCACTACTACCCCAAAAGAAAATGGTTTCCCCCTGACTATACTGTGGGGTTATGCTGTTGGCTTACACCATGGGGTGCTTAAAAAGGTATCCTTATGAAAACTCATTATTGCATTTATTATTGGAATGCTGAAGGGAACTTCATTTAATGTATCTCTTATAGTACCAAATCTGAGGCCCCAAGGGAGAAATACTCAAACAGCAGGGCCAGAAACATTTTGCTTCTCCTAAGCCATCAGTGTGCTTATTTAATGAACAATGGGAAATTTTAACAGGTAGCATTTCTTTATTTACTTTAGCCACTAGGAGGAAGCTCAAGGCAGTATCTGAAATCCTCTTTGGTAAATATTAAGATACTCAAGTATCTTCTCCCTGTATTAAATTCCTCATACTCTATTTTACTTCAACTTTGAAGTAAACTCTTAGGACAAGAGTCCAATGTCATTTCCATATTTATACTGAAAGCTGATTTCAACTGCTTTAAGAATACACACACACACACACACACACACACACACACACACACACACAGAGTAAAACCTTGGATTGCGAGTTCTTCAAGTGTTCTGCAAGATGGGCAAACATTTCTAATATATTTTAACCTAATAAACGAGTGATGTCTTGTAATAAGTGTAGTACCTGATGGAGAATGTCATATGACCACAACTCAGCCAATGGTTCTTGAAATCCAATTTGATACACAAGTGCTTTGGATTACAAACATGTTTTCAAAACAAATTATCGCAAACCAAGGTTTTACTGTATTTTTTTGGCAGCGGGTGTGTGTGGGGGGGAATCTGCTGTAACTTGTTATCAATGCAACATAAAGATCAGGTTATACTATGCTTCGACCAGGCAGATAATATGCCCCAAACCTTAATTTGTCTAGTATCTCATACTAAGGAAGTCATTTAAAATTACCCAAAACTTACCAATCATAATTCTCATTTGTATTCATAATCCAAAGCAATTCTAACAAAACTCCTGGAAACTAGCTCAACAAGTAACTGCATTAATTCAGGGTTAGGGGCTGTTTCATGTTTTGAACAATCAACCTACTCTACTCAGGCCAGGGATTTATTAAGTTTATTAATAGCTCATCTAAGCAATTCTATCTTGCTTTTAAATAAATTGGTCATAGTTTAAAAACATTTATATTTAAAAAATTTAAAGCACAATTCAGCATATATTTGATTTTTACAATATTACTCTAGGAGAGTACTGCCACTCATTTTACGGGTTGAGAAAACTAATAAGACATTACTAAAACTAATGAAGTTCATAGGACTTTCTCAAAGTAGCATGTGCTGATGGAACTAGAACTAGAAAAGAAACCTTTCTAGACTTTTTCTGGAATGAAGGTAGGACATGGACTAGAGTGAAATGTTTCTCATCTTTATTAGCAATGTTCTAAAAAAACTTTGCAGAGGAACAAACAACTGTGTGTCAGGAAACAAGAGATGAATTATGACCTTTCTGCTGAATGCTAAGAACTAATAAGGAAATATTTTATCTCTCACAGCATCAATGCCCTTAGGCAAAAATGGGTCTGATCAAACTCAATTCAATGTAACAGATGATTTAAACTTCATTTTAAACAGCATCTAGCCATTCTTCGGAGAACCTTTAAATTCATTAGAGAATTGGGAGATTTTCAGAATATCTGCAGTTCTCACAAAATCAGGCCCCATTAGCTGGCTAAGGAGACTAGCAGTATACCCGAGCTCTAACCTAGGAGACCATGAGGGCATTTTTTTTTTTTTTTTTCCACTGATGAGATCTAGTCACTTTTGATCTAAATCTTAGTTAAGTGTATTTACACTACAGTTTTAGCCCTTTCAAAATATTAAATTATACCAATCTATATTTATACTTCTTGAAAATTTGCCTCTCTAGTATATATAGTTTACATTCAGAGTGATGGAACTAAAGTAAATTACCTTCAATATTATTACATTTGTACAGATTGTTTCCTGGTACAGGTATCTCATCTGACCTATATTAATCAAGAAATTATTTGAAAAGAATGATTTTTAATATAACAACTAAGATGACAGAATTTAACATTAAGATATTTACAATTTATATCTAAAGTATTTATGGTATTTAAAGTATTTCCATGCTTTTTGGAAATAAAGCAACATTTTATTCACATTTATTCATTTGGCTGTGCTATGTTTTTAATACCTGGATGGTATTAAATGTTCACAGGTATCAAATGAAATAAAATGGAAGTAATCATGTCTTTAAAAAAAACAGTATTTTTTTTTGCATTTAATAACTTGTTTTATTTTTTATTTTTTTAAATTTACATCCAAATTAGTTAGCATATAGTGCAACAATGATTTCAGGAGTAGATTCCTTAATGCCCACTACCCATTTAGCCCATCCCTCCTCCAACAACCCCTCCAGTAACACTCTGTTTTCCATATTTATGAGTCTCTTCTGTTTTGTCCCCCTCCCTGTTTTTATATTATTTTTGTTTCCTTCCCTTATGTTCATCAAACAGAATATGTTTTTATGGAAGAGACTTATGTTCTCACCTGAGGCTGCTGTGGCATTTGTAGGGGTTGAAGCAGCTGCTTGAATCCGAGCATGAGGAGGAATAAGAATGGTAGCTAGAGGTGGATTACTTGACAGTTCTAAAGAGAAGTAAGATACATGTTAGAACCCATTCTGAACTCTGTATGTGAAACTACTTTTATTGTTAACAATAAGCATAAAATACTGCATTAAAACACTGGCTTAACAGAAAAAAAGACATGATAAACCAACATCTAAAACTAAATCAATGAGCTAGAAATCAATTTCTAGACAAAGTCCACAGAAATGTTGTACACATAACTAAGGCACTATCTGCTAAAATTAGAATATGTCTGAGAAGTAAAGATAGCTTAGGGAACTGTACTGGCTGATGGTTTGAGAATAAGCATATCACTAAGATATATTTCCATCTTTCATTAACTTAAATATACTAGGTTTTCCCATACGGCTCTGACAGTATTTGACTACAGGAATTGAGAGTGATGATGTCATAGAAAAGAGACTAGGACTATTGTTTGCGTATGCATGCATGGACCAAACTACCCGACTGTTAAAAGTTTCATTGCTTTTATTAAAAATAATTTTTTTAAGTTTATTTATTTTGAGACAGACAGAAATAGTGCAAGCAGGGGAGGGGCAGAGAGAGAGATGGAGAGAGAGAGAGAGAGAGAGAATCCCAAACAGGCTCCATGCTGCCAGCGCAGAGCCTGACCTGGGGCTCAAACTCATGAAACCATGAAATCATGCCCTGAGCCGAAACCAAGAGTCAGACGCTTAACCGACTGAGTCACCCAGTTACCCCAAAAATCAGAATGGTTTTATTCCACTCTATTTTCCTTTTTAACTCAGTAAGATCATTACTTTGATTCTAAGTTTGAAATAGGCTTTTTACCTTCATGTAGAAGTTTTTGTCGACTGTAAACAGAGTGACTTTCTTTAAAGAATCAAGTTCTATATATAAGCCTTAAGAAGCAATTTAAGATGACACTGGATCTAATGATGCACACATATAGCAAGAAGTGGTAGTGAGCTCTTACATGTAAGTATCTGGTATTAGCTTTGGTAACGTGACTGTTTTCCTGGTCTGCTCGGGATAACTCTGGTTTATTTTTGTTATCCCAGCATTTATCTAGTGACTTGATTTTCATGCTCGTAAGTGTTGCAATTTGAAGGGATAATTACACAACCATACTAGTTACAGGAAGACATTCTTTGAGCTACTGCATACATTTTGACAATTTACAGATATGGCATGGAATAAAAAAAAGTTAAACAGTATAATCTTAAAGTAAATTCACATAACAAAATTAACCATTTTAAAGTGTACGGTTTAGCGGCATCTAGTGCATTAACAATGTTGTACAACCATCATCTCTATCTAGTTTCAAAACACTGTCATCACTCAAAGGGAAACCTTTAGCACTCACTCCCCATTCGTCCCTCCCCCCAGCCCCGAGCAAGGGAAATAGTGTTTTAATATAGTAGCTTAAAAAATTGTCTGTTGCAAAGCCCCTGTTAATATGGACTTACTCAAATTGGTACCTAAATATCTACATTTTATACTAAATGATACCAGATTCTGGTAAAAATAAACAAACAAAAAACCCTCAACAAACCTATCCCAAGATTTATGAAAAATGAATGGGAACAAAAGCCTAAAACTGAGTGAAGACTATTTATTAATTTTTCCCCTTAAATGAGAAGATGTAAGGCAGCTTCCCTGGATAGAAGTATTTCTCATGTCTTCCCTGGAAGCCAGTTAGAAAACCATTGCCTTAATGATCAAGTTTGAAGAGATGCTGTTTTCTCATAATCAGCTTTTAGCTGTTTTGGTTCTCACAGAGGAAAAGGATGATCCTAAGTTGTTTTATTTCTAGTTAATCCAATTTTAACCCACAATCTTGTATCTATGAAAGCAAGAGAATCCTAATTACCATGGCTGATGACTCTATGGTTCTAGTAATAAAAATTAATGCAGGGTGTGGTAACTACTTTTGATTAACCTAAAAGATTTACCATCTCAATTACAATTAAAATCTGCTAAAATAGAAAGGCTTCTTAAAATTCATCCATCCATCCTCCCATGTGTCTATCAATACTGAGCATAAAACTGTGTTAAGTCAGAGAAAAAGATAACCATCTTTGATTAAAAGAAATTGAAAATGGAAGGTCAACTGCACAAATAAGCCAGCAAGAAAGGCATTCAACCTATTCAGGATAGGGGCACTTTTAAATTAAAAAGATCTCTATGAGGGACACCTGGGTGGCTCAGTCGGTTAAACGTCCGACTCCGGCTCAGGTCACGATCTCACGTCACGGTTTGGGAGTTTGAGCCCTGCATTGGGCTCTGTGCTGAC